TGTCTCAGAAATAAATGAAAAAAATTTGGTAATATATTATATTGTTTGAAAAAATCCAAGAATCCAAGAATAATCTTGGAATTGGTGTCACAAAAATAAATAAAAAAATTTGGTAATATATTTTAATGTTAAAAAGAATAATTTGTTGTACCTTTTTTCTTAAAGGTTGGAAACCACTGCTAAAAGCTGTATGGATTTGCAATAACAAAAGCTTGTTTAAATTTTCATAAAAATAATGCAAAATGCTGACAAAATTTAATGTATATATATAAAGAGGTAGAAGTACAATTGTGTATATTAACCCTAAACTAGGTGTAAGTGGCATTTTGCCTTCCGGTACGTATGAATCAGTAGGAATTGAGATTTAGATATGCGAATGGAATTTAAATTTAAAATTTAGTATGCAAGTTTATTAGGAATGTAGGTATACAGTTTTATTGATAATTTTATCTAGATTGTTTTGTTCCAAGACAAAAATTATGTATCTTTAACCGAAATGAAGCTATTTACAATTACAAACTGAGAGAAAGTAACTTTTTAATTGTTGAGTTTTTTGCAACAAGAAACATTTTAGGTCTTGTATCTTCTTTGTATATTTTGTTAAAATAAATCTAAGTACACATTTTTTTAGTTAATTTTATCCAGATAATATCTTTCTAACACTATAATAATCTATCTCAATCCAAAACAAAGTTATATAGAAAAAAACTGAGAAAATGCCAGTTTTTAGGCATCGGTTTGGAATAAACCGTAACTCTGTCGAATTTTTTACGCATTGATATTTTTGTATCTTCTTTATTTATTAGATTATTATAAATATAAATACACAGTTTCGTGGCTAATTTTATCTAGAATTTATGTTTTTAAGACCACAATTAGCTGTCTTAATCCGAAACCAAGTTATATACACAAAACTGTGCAAAATTTACTTTTTAATTGTTAATTTTGTGGGTCGCTGTTGACTTTAACGCATACATACTATTCATATCCTTGTATCTTTTTTGTAGCTTATTTTTTTATAAATCTAAGTATACAGTTTTATAGCTAATTTTATCTAGATTCTTTTTTCCTAAGACCAAAATTATCTATCTCAATCCAAAACAGAGTTACACACAAAAAATCAAAAAAATGTATTTTGGCTTGACCTCTTTTATACCATTGTACTTCTACCTTCTCTAAATCTATTCAAGGACTATCACAATTTTTTATAATTATATTTTTATGAAATTTTTAAAAACTTACCGTCGCAATTCCTCTCATCACTTCCATCAGAACAATCGGAACGTCCGTCGCATTTTAGACGATCATCTATACATTGAGAATTGTCGCAACGGAATTGGTAAGGGCCACAATCACCTGGATAAAAAATAAAAAAAATTTAAAAAAATTGACAAGTATTTTAATTTATGTATATATCTCGCAAATTGGCATATCACTTTATAGAAAAACCTTATACAGCCCGATATTTTCACCCTCCTACTATAAACCACTATTCTGTATTACTTTTCATATATGATTAATTATAGATATTTATCAGTTTATTTTCATTGACGATATTTTTACATTATTGAGAATCTGAATTTTTTCACATAACCTTTGGCACGTTGTTTTATAAATTTTACATCAATTTATCTCGTAGTTACCAGAAACAATTACAACTGTCATTTTGTCAAAATTAACTGAAATTTCTAAAATTTTAAAATGAACTGAGAATTTTAAGATAGCCTATAACCTAAGTTGAGTATAAATGCACACAGTAACCCAAAAAAAATTAAAATCGGTTCAGTAGTTCGAGCGTACATCGCGGACGAACTTTCTACATAAAATTCTTCTGTGCGGATGTATGAATGTAAATAATTATAAAATTATGGATAAAAAATACAAAAAATTAAGAAAAATTAGGTATATAAATTGGATGTTGAGATTTTTTTTATAAAAATACCTTAATGTGATACAGCCCTAAATTTTTACCCGTCTACTAGTCTTTATAAATGATTTTTTGTAGATATTTATTAGTTTATCTTCATTGAAGATATTTTTACTCGTACATTATTGAGAATCTGAATTTTTTTCACAGAAAAAAAATGATTTTTGTGAACAGTTGCTTACTCCTGGTGTCGAAAATAAATACAACCCTAATTTTTCACATTTTGAAAACCCTTGGGCACATTTTTTTGTAAATTTTAGATCAATTTATCTCGCAGTTTCCAGAAATATTGACAAACTGTCATTTTTCAGTGTTTAGTTTTCTTAAAATTTATAAATGACAAAATTAAATAAATTGGGCAATTCTGCATCATCAAAGATTCTGCTATCATAACATTATTCTTTGGTTGTTTACATGTAAAATACGCCTGATCGTACAGCAAATAAATAGACATTTTCATAGTTTCACTACAAAGGAACAAGCATAAGATAGTTGAAAGTTGTAAGAAATTCATATATTTTTAACAATTAACTGAGAATTTTAATATAGCCTATAACTTAAGTTGGATTAAAATGCTCAAGTTAAGCCAATGAAATTAAAATCGGTCCAGTAGTTCAGGCCTACATCGCGGACACACAAACTTTGTATATAAAATTCTTTTATACGATGTATGAATCAAACTCCTTCTAAACGTTATTCGAATTTTGATAAAGCTTTTTGAAGTTTGTTA